TCCTGGAATCCAGTTGTAGAGAGGGAGGAGAGATGAGCAAAGGAGTCAAGACTGTGCTGGAGAAACCTAAAAAACCAGCTGACCTGACCTAGTGAGAGCACATGGACCCCAGTCATAAAGCTGGGGAACCAGCTTTGGACTGAACCAAACCCCCGGAGTGTGGGTGCCAGTTAGGAGGCCTGGGCAGACTGTAGGACCTCTAACAGTGGAACCAGTATGTATTCCTAGGGCACAAATGGACTTTGGGAGCTCATTTCCTATGGAGGGTTACTAATTCAGCCCAGATACATGGAGGAGGGCCTAGGCCCTCCCCAAAATGATGTGACAGACTTGGTGATTCCCCCATGGAAGGCCTCACCATCCTTTGGGAGGGGTGGGTGTGGGTGTGGAGGGTTGGTAGGGGGCATGGAAGGATGGGAGGGAAAAGGAATGGAGGGATTGATATGTAAAATGATTTGTTTCTAAAGAAAAAAAAAGGAGGAAAATTGGAGCATATTTGTCAGTTTTGCCCTAAGGGACTCAGATCCCTAAATTCTATCCCTTAGGATAGAATTTAGATCAATCCCTTAAGGTGATAGATCTAAATTCCATGGACATTTAGTGTCCATGGGAATTTGGCATCAATTGAGATTCTTTTCTGCTTTTTTGAATCCAGTATTCCTTTACCCTTATAAAATGAATGTATATCTACTCATGATACATGGAAGGAAAACACAGGGATTTTTCAAGAATATTCTTCTTCTCCAAGAATAAAGTTAGGTGAGATAAGTTAAGGGACATAGAGATAGAGTAACTCCTTGGGCAGTCATGGATGGGCTGCCTCTGGTCCCCCTTGGCAGTGCTGTGAAAACAGACAGGAACATTTGGCAGGATCTGGTGTATGTCAGGATGTGACATTCCTATTGTATGTGTTATCTCTCTGGCCTTCATCCCTATGAACAGGGCTAACCTCCTGCAATGATTTAAGCAAGCATCTGAGGCTGGGGCCAGGCAGTTTGTGAAGCAGCCTTATTTCAGACCCCAGGAATGTGGGTGTCAGTGAGGAGACCTCAGAAATCTACAGGACCTCCTGTAGTAGTTGAGTACTTATCCCTAGCATATGTGTGGACTTTGGGATCCCATTTCTCTTAGAGGGATACTCTCTGAGCCCAGACACATGGGGGCAGTCCTAGGCCCTATCCAAAAGGTTTTGATAGACTCTGATAACCCCCAATGGTAGTCCAACCCTCCCTGGGGAGCAGAAAGGATATGTGATAGGTAGGGTTTTAGTTGGGGG